AGTGTTTAACTGAACTGTGACACGAGTACGAGGAGATGATCAGTGTGTCACAACGTTCCCATCAGCATCTGTCTGAGTTCCTGTAATGGAACGGACATTTTGCAGCAGCACCATGAGGAACGACAAGAAGACCTTTATTTTTAGTTTGCTACAGCGCTGTTGTGAGTCGTCTTGTCTCAATGGAGATGTGATTGAAAGAGTGTTTGTCCATGAGAACCTTTTTTCGGTGCCAGAGTGACCCATATTCTGCGGATTAGCATGATAATTCATTTGGAGGATTCATCTGGGGATTTGCACTGCTGGTATCCTTTTAATGTGCAAGCTGTGTGTGTTCAAATAATAATAGCTGTAATAGTTTCTTATGTGACCTTATGTTTTCTTTGTCTATTGTGCTTGTATATCAGGAATGTCTCCTCTAAGGAGGAAAGGGAAGCAATGTTTAGCCTAGTTTTAGAGAAATAATCCTCCAAAAGGTGTCTCGATTGAAACCCAAGCATTTATTCATTCATTTTCCTTCTGCTTAGTGCCTTTATTTATCAGGGGTCACCACAGCGAATTCAACCGCCAACTTATCCAGCATATGTTTCACGCAGCAGATGACCTTCCAGGTTTCTGTGGGGGAAACCGGAGCACCAGGAGAAACACACGCAGACACAGGGATAACAAGCAAACTCCACACAGAAATGCCAATTGGCCCAGCCAGGGCTCAAACTAGCAATATTCATGCTGTGAGGTGACAGTGCTAACCACTGAGTCACCCAAAACCCAAGCATATCATCAAAATCCTCCATCTTGTCAAAGCACTGCCAGTGTTTAGTTTAGTTTTGCATATACTGGAAGTTCAGATTTTGTCAAATCATAGTTTCATGTCTGTTACGATCCCACATTCACTAAACACCCACTGGTTTGGTCTGCTACAATAGCTATGTCCCAAACTCTTGCTATTGGTCGAACAGGAAAATGGTTATCAGATTAGAGCAGATTTTATGCTTGTCTGTCTTACATTCTGTATTTAACTTGCCTCATTTATTTTGACATTTACTTTACACGTGATTTACTGCTTAGGTCTGGATAAAACACGTTGCAATAGACTTTTTTTGTTATCGTGACATAAAAACAGCTCATCACTCAAGAAAAAAATAAGGCTGTAAATCAAAAAATAATATTAAGCACAAATAATTAATGCATTGATTTTTGTAAGTACTGCAATATTTTTTTAAATTAATAAGAATTTGTGATTTTTATTTAAATGTGACTTCATAAAGAAAGTATATACATGTATTTTACATGTAATAATTTTGTATTAATATACTAACTGCCTAAATCCCAAGAAATCACTAGACTGGCCAGTCTGCAGTCCTGACCTGTCACTAATAGAGAATATCTGCATCCCAAATGGCACACTCAGTGTTGGGCAGTTGCGTTGCTACAAGTAGTGACGCTACTAGCTTAGCTACATTTCTCAGTAGCTTGGCGGTAGCGTCACTTTTTTCTAAATCAAATAGCTTTTGAGTAGCGAAGCTATTCTATTAGTCAAGTAGCGCAGTAGCGTCCACAAAGCTACATTTACCAATCGCAGATCAATAAGTGACCGCACCGACATTCACAGAGCTGTGAAGCCGTTGTCTAGCCAATGAAAGTAAATCCATATGATAGAGAGTATCATGATTTCTTCTTCCTGTTTTATGGTGGTTGACAACAAACTTTTTGGTGCATTACTGCCACATCTGGTCAGTTTTAGGCCAAATTAGGCTAGCACAAGAAGTTATTTCTGAAGCAGGATTTTTTCGTGACCATACCTCGAGAAGTACATGTTAAGATGCAATAACTTAATTTCTGATGCTGTGCTCAAAAAATATTTCCGGAATTTATAGTACTACTATAAATTACTGCATTATGTAGTGTCATTTATTAATGAAGAGTTGTAAATATATTTACAATATGCATAAGGCTTATGTCAAAATATTTATCATTACTATAAATTTTTATAGTATTTTAAGTTTTTGTTTTAGCTGTTACATACTATGTGTTCCTGTTTAGTACAGCATATTATTTACTATAAATAACTGAATTGAATTATGCCTCATATATTTCATTGACTCTTTTATTGATCACTAAGATATGACTGACTTAGTGTTAAGTTGCTTCGATTTAAATATAAAAATTGCAAAAATAGCTTAATGTAGCTAAGATACTTTTGCCAAGTAACTTTTAGCTTAGCTTGCTTTATTTCCCAGAGGGTAGCTTATAGTGTAGGCTACATTTTAAGTTGAGTAGCTTTAAAAAGCTTGCCCAACACTGGGCACACTATACACTATGCACTTATGCACTTACACACTCAACAGCATAGTATATGTATGTGGTGTCGTCACCAATGGAACACAATTTTTTTTTTACTTAGCGGAAATTCAAACCCCATCTTACCCAGATGATGTTTGACGGTTGCCAATTTAATGAAATAAATACCATGAGTGTAATCACATTCACCATCGGGAGGTGGTATAATCACTCTCGTCAGAGAATTTTGCTTTTACAATCCAAAATAAGTAGAGTAATCCCACATGAGCGCCCAAAGGCTCCGCCCCTTTCGCTTCGTGAGTAAAGCAACGGCTGTTGAGTGCGTGAAGTGTCCATTATTACACTTTATTTTAAAGATTGAATAAGTGCATCATCTAGGTATTTAACGTGCACTCTTTATTATTATAGTTTTCAGTGTGAATGCACTACTTACACTATTTATACTACAAAATTTTGTAAAATAGTGCATATGTGATTTGGGATGCACCTATTGTGTGGCACATTTTAAAGTAAAAAATGCAGCAACAAAGACCCTGTATATATGCATAGATATATTGACATATATATTATAGAGCCATCTGCTATATACAAACTTCATAATTAAGCAAATTTATTTAAAGGTGCAGTGTGTAGTAGTGACAGTTAGTCAATAAGTGAAGCTAAGTTTAAACTAAATAAAGCTCAGGATTTATTTTTATGGTAATCAAACGCAATTTGATGGTTATAGAGGGAATGTTTCTTACAAATAGCTGCACTCCTCTATTTGACAGACTGAATAAAGTCAACTTCATATCACACTCCTTACAGCTGAGCGGACATGAAAATAGGGAGACGGGGCAGGTGAGAGAGACAAGAAAGATACGCGGAGTACAAGAGAATCTTTGAGATGAAGTAAAGAGTTGAGGCAGACACAGATTCATTGCTCTATTATGTTTTTTTTTACATTTTTTACTAACTTGCGCCTTATTCCTTTGTTATTGTAAGGATGTAAGACACATTTCAGCATCTTTTGAAGCTGGTATTTGACATCAAATTTAGTTTTTATTGCTTTTTTGAATACAAAGTAATGTACTTTTGCACTTAAGGTCTTGACTGAACAAGAATATAAAATAAGCATGACAAAACCTTTGAACTGTTGTTTTTTTTAAGCAGTTAATAGTTTAATTCAGTACAATAATTTAATCAAAAGTGACAATAAAGACTTGTAATGTTAGAAAAGATTATAATTTCAATTAAAGGCTGTTCTTTTTCTTGAAGCATCTTAAAAGTTGTTGCCTTCCACAAAAAAGCACCACAGCTGAAATGTTTCATGAGCAGCAAATCAGCTTATTAGATTTTTTTTCGGAAGGATTATATGCAGGGACTGAAAACGCAGCTTTGACTGAAAGATTTTTTTTTAATAATGATGTTTCATAGTTCTAATCTATAATAGTGCAATTTTGATTGAAGCTTAAAAAAATGAAAAAAAAAAAAAAACCAACCAAGCCTTTGGACAAAATAGAAAATTTCTCCATTAAGAAACAATATTCACCCATTTGTCGTATTTCCTTACTGTTTACGTGTTTAAATTAAGAGTTTGCAGACTTTAATGTGTAGATTTAATAAGCATGAACTAAAATTTCCATTATTGATCTATATCTAATATTGGATATGCAAATGTATTTACATCTCAACAATGTTTCAACAACTTCCACTTTGTAATGCAGTGCATTTTGCTTTCCAATAAAAATGTAAAGTGGTTTATGGGCCACTTTAATATAACTGATAATATCACTGGAAGCAGTGAAGAGAGTATATTTCCCTAGAAAGTGAAAGAGGGTGGAATAATGCACAGCATGTATTAGAAAGTAGAACTTTAGTGCAAGCTGGGCAGAACAGGATCTTTGATTAAATTAAAGACTTTCAAAGGGAGCTGTGAAAAAGAATGAGGTTTTCAGGACACTCGGATCAATCGACATGTGCATAGTGAAGTCACAGATCAAACCATGTCTCCTGGACAAGGTTATGTTGTAATGGTTTATTTAATTTTTTTATAATGTCAGAATTTATTTTTCAGATAGGTATATTCAGCATAAAATGAAAACAAACTTATTTTTCAGTTTAAACAGTTGTTTATAATAATAATAATGATGTTATTACACCATTTAATATATTCAATATAAAAGAAATTGTGTTTTTAAAATATTGGAAATCATTATTGCTTACCAGCAGCATTTAAAAATTGCTTGTAATTCATAAAATGTACTTTTATAAAAAAAAGTAAATGTGTATATAGCACAAATTTCCACTTTTAAGGAAAAAAAAAAACATTTATAATTGTAAAAGATTTAAACTGCTGCAGTCACCCAGTCATTTCATTAAGGTAATATAGGTAATATTTCAGGCATTTCTTATCTCTGATGGTTATTACATTCTGCACACAAAGGCTGCAAATGACTTTACTTTTGTTTAAACTCTGCTCCAGATCTGATTTATGCTTCGATTAACCATTAAGAAGGCCCTGTTCATCATATATGCCTGCTGATAACATAATTCATGTATTAATTAATCTGTTATCTCTCCACTTTGTGCGCAGCTAGAAATGGAAACGATATTAGAAATTAGACACTTCATTATGAGTCTAATTTGATAGAGAAGATCGCTATAATTCAGGCTATTAACCACCTGTTTTGTTGTTAAATTGTATGCTCTTTCTCCCCTAGATCTCTCTCTGGTCGTATAGTCGGAGGTGTGTGGTGGTTCTTCACTCTGATTATCATCTCCTCCTACACAGCCAACCTGGCTGCCTTCCTCACTGTGGAAAGGATGGTTTCACCCATTGAGAGTGCAGAGGATTTGGCTAAGCAAACTGAGATTGCTTATGGGACTCTGGATGGAGGATCCACTAAAGAGTTCTTCAGGGTAAGTAATACTCGCTGAATAAAAAAGGCAAAAATTATACATTTAGCTTATGGGATTCTGGATGGAGAATTCACTAAAAAGTTCTACAGGGCAAGTAATACTCGCTGAATAAAATCAATGAAGAGATTATACATTTAGCTTATAGGATTCTGTATGGAGAAGTCACCAAAGAGACAAAATGTGAAAAACCTCAACCTCCCTTTGCTTTGCACCATGTCTAACAAATATACACTCACTGGCCACTTTATTAAGTACACCTGTCCAACTGCTTGTTAATGCAAATTTCTAATAAGCCATCACAATCACATTGCAGCAACTTAATGCGTTTAGGCATGTAGACATGGTCAAGACGATTGGCAGCAATTCAAACTAAGCATCAGAATGGGGAAGAAAGGTGATTTAAGTGTCTTTGAACGTGACATGGCTGTTGGTGCCAGACGGGCTGGTCTGAGTATTCCAGAAACTGCTGATTCACTGGGATTTTTACGCACAAACATTTCTAGGTTTTACAGAGAATGGTCCAAAAAAGAGTATCCAGTGAGAGGCATTTCTGTGGGTACAAAAGCCTTGATGCCAGAGGAGGGGTTTTGATGTCAAAGGAGAATGGCCAGACTGGTTCAAGCTAATAGAAAGTCAACAGTAACTCAAATAACCACTCATTACAATTGAGGTATGCAGAAAAGCACCTCTGAATGCACAATACATTGAACCTTGAGGCGGACGGGCTATAGTAGCACTACACCAGTACTAGTAGGGTGTACTTAATTAGGTGGCTGGTGGGTGTATATTAGTATATAATCATCATTAAGGTATTAATATACATCCTTTGAGAGTTCAAAGTTACAGCAAGTAGGTTATAAAGCTTTATAGCTATTAAAGAGCAAAATATGCTAAATTTATCCATAAATCTAAAATTCTAAAGAGAAAACTGAGGAAAAACTGGTTTGAACATCTTGATGTGACATGCAGGAGAACCATGGCATCAGGTACTTTGCATACTATTTTGTTATCATTTGTGCAAATGGTATTCCAAAGCGACTTACAGTACATAATGTGATCCGTACAAAGCAAACAAAATACGAGCAAAATGCCCATTTGTATTCATGCTGAATAAGAGGCCTGTCTGTTTCTTTTTAAATGTGCTCAGTGTCAGTTTAAAGGTGCTGTGTGTCATTTTTTAAGGTTTTTGAAACATGTGAAGTTCACATCCATGTTTATCTGAAAAAACTATACAAGTTAATATCTTTTGAAATGTGTTTCTGCCCATTGCCTACTAAAACAGTTTTTACTCAAGCTAGGTTGCCAGTTGGAAGAAAACACAGCAATTGAAGACAGCAAAGGAACTGGGTCACAGATCGCTTTGCAGTTCTTCTGACAACCCAATGTTTTTGCTACAGATTTTTTTAAATAACCTGCTTATTAACAAACCGTACAGTACAGTGTTTGGGAAAGTTATTTAACATCACATATTCAGTATATAATGAATGAAATCAGTTTGTTGTTCAAGACAAAAGGCATTTTTCTTATTTAGCTTGCTGACATCTCACCTTTGTATATGTTGCATAAAATAATTTACAGCACACTGAACTCTATTATAAATGCACCAATTCAAAAAACTTCAACTGACAAGCTCATGTTGGTGTAATCAATCTAGCAAACAGTGTCTTATTATAGTTTAAACTACACGATAACCACTAGCTGTCAATATCACTCACTGCATCATTAAATAAATGAGTTTAATTGTGAAATTTGTATATACTGTAGCAGATGGCTCTATAATATCAATATATCTATCTATGTATCTGTATATCTATATGTGTCTAGATAGATAGATAGATAGATAGATAGATAGATAGATAGATAGATAGATAGATAGATAGATAGATAGATAGATAGATAGATAGATAGATAGATAGATAGGTAGGTAGGTAGGTAGGTAGGTAGGTAGGTAGGTAGGTAGGTAGGTAGGTAGGTAGGTAGGTAGGTAGGTAGGTAGGTAGGTAGGTAGGTAGGTAGGTAGGTAGGTAGGTAGGTAGGTAGGTAGGTAGGTAGGTAGATAGATAGATAGATAGATAGATAGATAGATAGATAGATAGATAGATAGATAGATAGATAGATAGATAGATAGATAGATAGATAGATAGATAGATAGATAGATAGATAGATAGATAGCAACACATTCTCTATTGGAGACAGGTCAGGACTGCAGACAGGCCAGCCAAGTACCTGCATTTTAGGGTTGTTCAGCTTAAGCTTGCTCTCTTGTCCTTTATGGACTGAAATTCCTCCATATTCTATTGATTTTTTTTATGATGCTATGCACTGTTGAGGGTGAAATATCCAAATATCTTCGTATCTTTCTTTGGGGAACATTGTTTTTAAATATTTCAATAATTTTCAATAAATCACTCTCATTTAATTTATACCTTTGTTGAATTTTAGTAACATTGCTCTATTCTTTTGGTGTCACGTAAATCTTCAATAATAGTTACAATATGCTGTTTTGGTGTTCACGAAACATTTATTGTCAATATTGAGAGCAGTTATGCTGGATAAATATTTTGTTAAATATTCTGACATTTTCAGTTAGAAAGAAACTGCATCTTTGTTGAATAAACATGAATCAGACTACGTTTGATCTTTTCTCAGAGATCAAAAATCGCAGTATTTGAGAAGATGTGGTCCTACATGAAGTCTGCAGAGCCTACAGTGTTTGTGAAGACAACAGACGAAGGCGTCGTTCGAGTAAGAAAGTCCAAAGGGAAGTATGCTTATCTGCTGGAGTCCACAATGAATGAATATATCGAGCAGCGCAAACCTTGTGACACCATGAAGGTGGGAGGAAACTTGGACTCAAAGGGTTATGGAGTGGCCACACCTAAAGGATCTGCTTTGAGGTACACTTGAGCTTCCAAGTACTCCAAATACAACTTAAAAATGTTTTCTGACAATGATTACGAGTCTGAGAGTTTACACCGGAGAAATGTCTGAGGCCATTACAGCATAAGGTCAAAGCCTAAGAATTAAACTAGTTAGAAGAAATATGTAGATGTATTTTGGAATAAAGTAATATATACTGTGTAGATATTTACTCAATAAATATACAATTTAAAATGTAAATGTATTAAATTATGAAGAATTAAAAAAAATATATTTTACTCAAAAACACTGATTATAAATGGGGATTTAGAGTTTTATTAAATAAGCACACACATGAGACAAAAAGAAATACATAAACATTAATTATTTTATTATTAATAAAAAGTAATTAAGTAGCTACAGCTAAAATGCATTAGATTTAGTAATTTTTCACAGACATATCTCCTCTGTAACCTCTAATTTTATGTGTTGACTGGAATAAGTTATAATTGTTTCTGTTCGTGTTGTGTACCATCAGTTTTCATTGAACTAACAAAGTTTGTACTCCTGTGTCTCATAATTCCATTGTCAAGACAATTTTAATGTTTATGTTTGAATACCATGTCTAACTCTTCATTTACATCCCAGTCCATTGACTTTCTAACCTTGTTCTTTATAACATTTACACATGACATCTTTGCGAATATACCTAAAAAATGCTAAATGCTGATTTGAATAAAAGCTGTGTGCCTGTTTAGCAGCATTTAACTATAAACAACACATTCCCCAAGAGTTGAATTCAACTTATTTAACTTGATTTATTTACACTGCTGTTCAAAGGTATGAGGTCGGTAAGATGCATTTGTAAGAAGGCTCACCGAGACTGCTTTTGTTTGATCAAAAATACAGAATACAACCGTAAATATGATAACTGTTTTGTAATTTAATGTTTAATTTTAAAAAATTATAATAATTTATATATATATATATATATATATATATATATATATATATATATATATATATATAAATTATTAAATAATATAAATAAATATTAAATACAAATATTTTTAAACATTAAAAGAATTACTGTTTAAAACAAATTAATAAATTGTTATTTATTGTAGAATTTTTAGCATAATTACTCCAGCTTTTAGAGTCACTTATTTCTTCTAAATTCCTTCTTAGATGCATTATTTGATGCTTAAAAACACATCTTACTATTATCACTGTTAAATTAATCAAAACTGTTTTGGGGCCATACCAGTTTTAATGACCAGTGAAATTTCACATATACAGTACATATATAACATAAGTTATTAGAGCAAAGTGATGTTGAACAGAGCAAGGTCATTTTTCACGATATTTCCTGTTATATTATTCTTTTAGAGAAAATCACGTTTATAAAAATTGGGCTGGAATCACTTGTTTATTTTTTATTTATAATTTTATTTTAAAAATCTGCTAAGGTCAATATTATTTGTCTCTTTAGTTTTTTTCAATTAGCTACAGAACAAACTACTGTTGTCCAATTACTTTTTTTACTTAATTTTCCAATTAAGCTCATTTTCCAAGTTAACCCATTTAACCTAGTTTTAATTACACTTTATGCTGAATGCTAGTATCTTGCAAAATAACTGTCAACATGGGAAATAAAATAGAAATCATGTAGTAGAAATCAGTTATTAAAACTATTCAGGGTACATTTGTTCATGGAAAAGCTGGAAAAGTCATTGAATTTTGACATGGGCATTTTTTAAACCTGGAAAAGTTTTAGAAAAACAGAAAACCCCACAAAGTTTTGGAAAATTATTTTTAACAAATATCTGTTAACTTGAATATGGGTTAGTTGTCTTATTTATTTTCTGAATTTGGCCAAAAACATGGTCTTATGAATGCTGTGTAAGCATTCATCAATTCATTTTCCTTCAGCTTAGTCTCAATTTCAGAGGTGGCACAGCGGGAAAGAACTGCCATGAGTAAGCATTATCTAAATAAATCTTACATACAATAGATATTAAAAAAAATTAAAACTAAATAGATTGTTGTGTGTTTTAGGTTTTTTTAATGTATGCTGTAATACATTTAAACGAGCATTGTTTTTTAATTATTACAGTTTTTCTCAGTCGCTTTGGTGCGTTTCTCACAACACCAGTGCATTTCTGCACAACAGTTGATGCATTTCTCAAAACAATTAGTGCAAACTGCTAAACCTAGCTGATAAGCTGCAAAAGCGCATCACATGCTCAAAATGGATAGTTCATTCCTCAAAAGCAAGTATTCTTGTCAATAAAAGTGTCAGAATCATCAAAATGAAAAGTCCTGACACCATTGTTTATGAACAAGATAGTCAAATGGCTTTGTCTTGTTTTCATTATGAGTTTACTCTGGACATTTTTTCAATGCAAAAAAGTCAGATGTTGGTGACACGTCCTGAAAATGCTCAAGACGGCACTATATACTGTTTGCACAGCCATTTGAAAACTAAAGTAAAGTTGGACATCACTGCATATAGTGAGGTATCTTAGTACAAGACACTGAATATGTATGTTTCACATTTTTACTCTGCATTTGCACTTTACAATCCTAATTTATTCACAGCATTGTGCAAAAGAATAAACACACCCTTATTTACAACAAACATAAACTCCCTTTGGGTTGAACTGTGCACAACTGTAAACAATATTGCAGTACAAATTGGACTTGAACCTGCAACATACACAGGTCTGTAAATCATTCATCAAATTGTTCAATTTTAAAGACATTTTCAGGAAAATAAAGTTTTAATTTTTTTTTTCATAAAGTTTGCTTGACCGATTTTGACATCAAGTTCAACATTTTTGTATGTAATGACTCAAGTAATGAAATGAGGACTGTTAGTTTTATATGGAATGACTATTCAGCATTTACAAGTTTAGTTCATTTTGACTGACATGACAAAAGCAAATAATAATGTTATAAAAAGCAGAAAGTTGAATGAAAGCAATTGATGCATGTCCGAAAGCATTTGCAATTTGTTGAAAGGAATGAGAAACTGCTACTAGGATGTGCACAAATGACTAATTGTTTTGAGAAATGCATGACCTGTTGTGCAAATGTAAATAGTGTTGTGAGAAATGCACCAAAGCGACTATGAAAAACTGTATTTACCATGTGTACAGTACATAGACATTACATTTACGGAGACCCAGAAGGGACGTAGTGGAGGAGAAAAAAATTGGCGTTTGTGAGAAAAAAAAGAATGGGTAGGATTGGAGAAAAAAATTAGTGGGAGGAAAATATATATGTTTTGCGTTCCCTCGCAAAGTTTTGCATTATCTAGCAAAGATGTTTTGCGTTCTCTCGCAAAACTGTTTACACTTCCTGTTCACTTCATTCATGTAAACCCTCCCGTTTTTGCCGAAATTCTCCCGTATTTTAACATTCTATCCCACTTTCTTTAAACTAAAGCTGTGTTGCCTTTCATTTCCTACCTCTGAATCAGTGAAAACATGTAGTATAAGTGCTGACTGACAGACGCGCTCAATATAATAAACTGATCCCAGATCAGCATCTGTACACACTATTTACAGAGGAACAAAACTGCAGGAAACTTTTGGATTCGGGTGTATGTTTAAAAAGACAAATACATTGAATAATATGTAAACATCTCCGTCCTGCATGTTTTATATTAAACAGCTAATTTCCTCTTAAATAAGCACAAACAGTTTCTAAAGTAATGGAATGCTTTCATTATAGATCTGTGCATTCTTACAGAGTCACCTCTGTTATCAAACAAAACAAAACATGAGATTCATTTGCTGCTCACTTGTTTGATAACAGAGGTGTCACTTTAAAGTGTTACTTGGCGCGTACAGAAGATTATCTGGGATCAGTTTATTGTATGGAGCACGTCTGTCAGTCAGCGCTTATACATGCATTCACTGGTTCAGAGGTAGCATATGAAAGGCGACGATCGACGCACAGATTTAATATAAAGAAAGTGAGATAGAATGGTAAAATACGGGAGAATTTTGGCAAAAACTGGACGGTTTACATGAGTAAAGTGAGCAGGAAGTGTTTGTGGAGAAACAGTTTTGCGAGAGAACGCAAAAGATCTTTGCAAGATAATGCAAAACTTTGTGAGGGAACGCAGAACATTTTTGCGAAGAAATGCAAAACTTTTCAAGAGAACGCAAAAACATAAAAATATATATTTCCCTCCCAGCCATTTTTTTCTTTCACCCATTTTTTTCTCCTACCCATTTTTTTTTTTTTTTTTAACCAGCCAATTTTTTTCTCCTCCACTACGTCCTTTCCGGGTCTCCGTTATACATTAACAATTGTTTAAAAATGTGTGTGAAAAAAAATCTCTCTCCATTAAACAGTATATGGGAAATATTTGAAAAATGATTAAAACTTCACAGGAGGGCTAACAATTTTGTATTTATATTATGTATATTGTCTTTATTATTACATAGTTTGCTCTGAAAAAAGCGACCATTGGACACTTGCAGTGTTCCTTTTAGGCCTTCAACGAGCCATGCATTTTTGTGGAAAATATTATACTTTTTTCAGGACTTTTAATCCACAATAATATACAGTTGAAGTCAAAATTATTAGCCCCCCTTTGAATTTTTTTCGTTTTTAAATATTTCCCAAATGATGTTTAACAAAGCAAGGAAACTTTCACAATATGTCTGATAATAGTTTTCCTTCTGAAGAAAGTCTTACTTGTTTAATTTCGGGTAGTATAAATTCAGTTTTTAATTTTTTAACAACATTTTAAGGTCAAAATTATTTACCTTCTTAAACTTTTTTTTGATAAGTCTACAGAACATCGTTATACAATAACTTGCCTAATTACCCTAACGTGCCTATAGTTAATCTAATTAATCTAGTTAAGCCTTTAAATGTCATTTGAAAAATATCTAGTCAATATTATTTCCTGTCATCATGGCAAAGATAAAATAAATCAGTTATTAGAAATGAGTAATTAAAACTATTATGTTTAGAAATGTGTTGAAAAAAATCCATTCAAACAAAAACAATCATACCTACTCTACAAGCAAAGCAGTCCGTTTTCCAGTCCTGAGCTGATAAACATCCTGTAGATCAGATGTTAAGCATGAATCTTTCTTTGAAAATTTCCTTCATTTCAGGCATTGAGCTGCTCTTGCCCATCATTATCCTTCTCCACATTCCTGTTGTCTTGTGTGCCCTGCAGATTTCAGATTAATGTCCATGGATGAAGTCTGGCTTTGTTTTAGTCATCCATAAACACACCGGCTCTTTCTCCCTTTCTCTTGAGGGATGCAGAAAGAAGTCAGCGATTTTACCAAGAAAATCTTCATACACACACACCAGAAACGGGCCACATTAAAAAAATGCTCTGGATTTGGAACATACAGTGTCCTTCAACCCCAACCACAGCGTAGCAGATCATCCACAGCTAATCTACAGTAATATTAACTTAATCTGTGAATCCTCTTACACCAACCACACTTAAATCCAGAGCATGGCTTAATTCGTCCCGTTTTCCCCCCACTGGGGGGGTTTTGCTTTGGTAAAATTGTTCATAATTTTGTCACTGTACACTTTAGCGCAACACAAGACAACTAATATAGTCACATCAACAAGCCCAGCAGAGCCAGGCACACAGTCAGATCAGTTTTCTGTTCTGTTTCACTTCCTCGACGACTTAATAGACTCACTTTTATTTGACACAACCTCTGCCTCGCCGTATCATATCACCAATGCTGACCCAGCTTATTTTATTATCATTTCAAGAAACCCAGTAAACCTGGCAGTGTTAAAACTGAACGAGCAGGGCCTGTTGGACAAATTGAAAAACAAATGGTGGTACGACAAGGGAGAGTGTGGCAGCGGAGGAGGTGATTCCAAGGTCAGCCCCAAAAAATGAGCCATCCGGCGGGTAACCACCACCTTGGGGGGGGTAACCGGCAACCTCAGTTAACAAACACTCCGGCTGCAGATCATTGAAAAATATCCAAGTCTGACTTGACTGATTGACAGCTCGAAATGATTGACGGCTAATTATAACTCTGAGTATCGTAACTGTAAAATGTGCAAATCCGAGTGTTTCAAATCTCTTGCCGGTTACCCAAAGTGATATAGTAATACACATCTTGCAATAGGGAGAAAGGTCACAAGCTAGATGGAGTATTAATGCATATCACTTTGGCAGTGGCAGTTTTCCAACTCTGTGACTCTGTGCTGTTCTTCCTTTTTCTTTTCTTTTATTGTTTCCGTCTCCTTTTTCTTTCTTCCTTTCTTTTTGTTCTATCTATCTGTAGACATTTAGAACACATCAAAGCGTAATTATGGGTGTATGTATTTTGCTTAAATGCTGAATAACATAAGATAACATGGGTAATGTTATTTATGTTATTTTCCTGGTTGAAGAATCCCCGTAAACCTAGCGGTGTTGAAGCTCAATGAGCAAGCCGTCTTAGACAAACTGAAAAACAAATGGTGGTACGATAAAGGGGAGTGTGGAAGCAAGGACTCCGCCAGAAAGGTCAGTTCACTCATTGGTCCTTTCCCTCAGCTTTAGCGCTTTACTAAAGGCCCTGTCCTCTTCTCTCTCAAAAACTCGCTCTGTCTCCAGTCTGCCATTTGCTCAGAGACTCGTGCGCTCTCTGTCATCATGTTTCTTTCTGGCCCTTATTACTTCCCATGTTACAAAATAGACATGCTGCTTGTGGTGTATTTATAGCGATAGGCAAAGTGTTTTGTTTTGTTTTTTTGCTCACTTCAGTGCTTTAGCACAGGCACTTGGTTCTTCACTTGCGTATTTAAAAGTTCTTAACATTTTGTGTGTGTGTACATGTGTGTTTGTGGATCAACTTCATTCAGAAATGATGTATTCATTAATCATTTAAGGATTAAAATTAACCATCTGAAATCACATGTACGCAACAATCAAGCAACAGTATATGAAGTATTATCAATTATTTTCAAGTGTGCTTTAATTGACTTGTGAGTTATTTCATTATTTATACTTTTTAAGAGTTACATACTAAAGCAATTTGTATATTGATAAATACATAATCTTTATTTACAGACACTCAAATAATTTATATTTGACAACTATATTATATTTTATATACAGATTTTATTTTAATATACACAGTTTTTTTTTAATTATGGACTTAGATTTAATCCTAATATTTACTTACTAAGATGTTATAAAAACATCTTCGCAGTCATAGTTTAACTGTTAAACTGTTATTCATAAATGACATAAATTGTTGTCGTGTTCACCTCCCACCCCTTACTTTAGTGTTCCTGGTCAAAATGGACCACTAAACTGCTCTTAAATTGCAACCAAATATTTATTCAACATTCTTTAGCTGTAAACAATGTCTCAAACTAATGTTTAACATGAATTTATAAAATTAGACATAATATAACTGCAGTGAAAATATAAATAGGCACTGAAAATATACTTCAAAATAAACATGCAATGTCATGGAGGTAATCATGTGCGGGGGCTAAGCAGACATTTTAAAAAGTGTGTGTAGGGGGTGATGGGACAGCTGATTGAGATCCAAAAATTTGCAATCATATAATTATTAATGACCTGTTTCTGGATGGTCTGCCTCTAAAAGTGAGGGGGACGTATCCCCCCGTCCCCTCCGGTTGCTACGCCCCTGATTACGTGGGAGGATCGGCACATAAGCACGGGAAAGAGATGGGTATCCACAAAAGACAATGTTCAGTCAGAAATGTGTGTGAGTGAGTTGGAGTGGTGTGTATGGGGATGTTTTATGTTTGATGGTTGAATATAGTCTGGATACTCATTCATATCCTATAGTCGTCAATTTTAACTAAGAACTTAAACACTCAAAATTCAACGAAAGAGGAGGTAATTGTTTTTATACACTGTAAAACCCAAAAAGTTAAGGTAACTTAAACCAATAAAAGAAACCGAATGCAAAAAAAAAAACAAAAAACATTTAAGGTCAAAAACTAATCCAAATGAGAACTGTAGACCTAATCCGATTAAGTACAAGAAGCAATTTGAGCACAGTGAAACCCAATAAATGAAGAGAACATAAACCAACTGAGTACTGTAAAACCCAATAAGTTAAGGCAACTCAAACCGTTTTAGGTAACTGATTGCTACAAACCATTTGAGTTAAAACAAAACTAATCTGTATGAGTACTGTGAACTTGCTCCATTTAAGTTGAAGTAACTCATTACCTTCAACGCTGAGTTCAAAACCATTTTCATATGAGTAGAATTAACTTTCAGTCAATTTTGAGTTAACTAAACTTATTTCGGTTTTACAGTGTTTAAATGCATATGTGGAGAATATCATAAGGCCTTGAGGCAATCAGATGTAAAACACAATATATATGAGTGTTTTAAGTCGGTCAGATTTGACCCAAACACGACAGGAAGGTTAAATAGCCAATCTGAATTATCTTTATTATATCAGATTATTAAAATTAAGTTTCAAACTAAATTAACTGTTACGCTCCAATATTATACATTCAGGCAGACACAAAGGGCAGCAAATAAAAGTTAAATGGACAAAACATCAGATTCATAAACATCTTAAATAAAATTTCAATAATTAAAAAAAACCCATATGAAATATTGAGATACTGCGCAGTGCTGCTGTAGTGTCCTACGTTCCCTTTATGCTATCTGCGTTCTCCTAAACTCATTATAACAACATCAACACATAAAAAACGAAAACCCCCATCTGTCTCAGCATGAGTAAATGGCAGTCTGGAGAGAAAAGCGTTGCCATGAAATGCCCTCTAACTGGATTGCTCTTCCCCTTTAGAGTCCTTCAATGCTGTCTTGTCTCTGTCCAAAGACAATATGCATGCCAATGGATGAGACCTTAATGCGGTCGCCAAACAGATGCATGTCATTGACTCCCACCACCCTTGACGAGACGTCTCCACCAGAGACAGAGAGAGAGAGACGCCAAAGGCCCCCCAGTTATGACCTTTGGACGAGAAACCTTAAAGTGACAGTTCACCCTAAAATGAGAGTTTGCTGTTAATTTGCTCACACTCAGGCCAGGCAAGATATTTATTTCTTATAAGTAAATTAAAAAGATTGAAACCAAGCTACTTTTTGATTCATAAAAGATAAAGTCAATGGCCGTTGGAACTTTTGAAGTAAATAAAAAAAACATGCAGCCAATACAAAATGAATACTTGTACATTGAGATCTTATGAAGCAAAATATAAAAATAATGTTCAGTTTCTGATTATTTTGCTTCATAAGATCTCAATGTACAAGTATTCATTTTCACAAGACCTTAATGTATCATTTTTGTGTTGATTCTATATGTTTTTTGACTCTTAAACTGACAGTAGACTTTTATTTTATGAATCACCAAGGAACACAAATTGGTTTTGAAAGTCAGTGAAATAGCAGCAAGCTTTCATTTTTGGGTCAACTATCCCTTTAAAACCATCCCTATATAAACAAGACAAAAAAGTTTATACATGCATGGTAATAAATAATAAGGTCTGCATATTTCAAACTAGAGAAATGTACAATAAATAAATTAAATTTAAATATATGTTTTTATTTATTTGTAATGATTTGTTTAAGGTTAAACCACTATGTATAGACAGCCAGAAATGACTCAAAATTATTATTTTTTTCTCAAGCTGACGCATGAATTTGCATGAATTAGTTCTTTTTTATTGCTCACTTGTTTTACATACTGCAACAATATGTAATGTGATTAAATAGTGAATGTATAAGTATGCAGATGTTGAGATGTAGCTGTAAATATCATGTTGTTTGTTTACTGACTAGCTGTGAATAGAAAGAGATGATTTCTGTTTGTTACTCTGCTGAAGATCTGTGAGTGTTTGATTGCCGTCTCTGCTCTGCAGGATAAGACCAGTGCTCTGAGCCTCAGTAATGTGGCTGGAGTTTTCTACATTCTGATTGGTGGACTTGGGCTGGCCATGCTGGTGGCCCTGGTCGAGTTCTGTTACAAATCAAGAATCGAGTCTCGAAGGATGAAGGTGTGTAAAAACCATGATATCTCACTCCGTTCGGAATCTACAACCTGGTACTGCGCAATATTTAGATTCATCTGCATTTAATTATGGGCTTTGCACTTGGCACTTATAATGTTTTATAACTGCTATTATATACTGACCTCACTTCCTCTAGGGGATCTGGCAGAGTAAGATGTTGGCATTTAAGAGGTAATTGTGGGTGGTTGTAAACATTGTACCGCCCACTGCGCTTCGCTCTAATCCTCGAGCACGTTGCAACTGAATGCTCAAAGAATTAAGAATACAGCGACTTATATAGAATTAATTACTCACAACCCCGTGTTGTGACTCATAATTTTCATTCAAGGTATTTCAAAGGGAAATCTGAGAAGTCATTTTTAGGACATGGTTTATAAAACACATGGCTTACTATATATATTTTTTCAGACAGCATCACTCCGGAAGAACAAATTTGAATGTAATAGACTGTCAATATTACTTTACCCATGATAAAATATCTGGGACTTACCAAAATTGCACCTGATCTGTAAAACTTATTTTGATAAAAATGTGAGGTTACACTTTATTTTGGTGGTCCGTTTGTTCCCAGTAGATTATAAGTAGACTGTTAGGTTGGGGTTAGGGTTAGTTTAAGTTGATATACTTGCAGAGTTTCTTGTAGTCATTTAAATGTCTGTTGAAAGAGCAGTATTAACAAATATTAAGTAGACAGTCTACTAATACTCAAATGCACCATCAAAATAAAGTGTTACCAAATGTGATATTTTAAAGGAATAGTTTAGTCAAAAATAAAAGAAAAATGCTGTTGGAAATCTAAGGTGTAGGTAGCTTTTTTCTTCATTCTTCATTTTTTTTCTTCAACACTAACAAAGACCTGTAGCTGAAACTGTGGTTACAAAAGGCAAGTTAATGGTTACTTACCAGCCTTTTGCTAGTCAAAAAACCTATATAGGTAATGCAGAATTATAACTTTTGGCATTTAACGGTACAATGAGATCTTATGAACCTCAAAAGAACTTCCTAATGACCTAAAAACTAGGATAATTAATCAACATAAATTAGGAGAAGGATACAAAAAGCTGTCAAAGAGGTTTAAAGCCTCTATCTCCACAAGCAGAAATATAGTAAGAAAATAGAAGACCACAGGGACAGTCCTTGTGAATAAAAGGTGTGGTGGGCCAAGAAAATTCCTAAACAGCAAAGGGGAAGAATGGTTAGAATGGCCAGAGACCACCTACAAAGAGCCCCAGGAATATCTTGCTGCTGACAATGTAATTGTACCATTATACCATCATTGTTCCACAGTCCAGCACACTCTTCACAAAGAACAGCTCAGTGGAAGGTGATGCGGAAAAAGCCTTTTCTGTGTTTTGCCAACAAGCAGAGACATTTGATGTATGCAAAGGCTTATCTGGACAATTCTGAATCATTTTGGAAAATTATACAATTTGGTCACTATAATAGGCAGAAAAACAACACAGCATTCCAGAAGAAAAACAAGCTCCCTACTGTAAAATATGGTGGAAGGTCCATCGTGCTGTGGGGATGTTTGGCACCTTTTCAGAGTTAAAGGTTGCATGGATTCCAGCCAGAAACAGCAGGTTCTTTAGAGAATAATGGTCAGGAATCCGTCAAGAAGCTGAAGTTACTTCAGGATTAGATGTTTCAGCAGGACTATTCCACAAAGCAGTTCTAGATCAACCAAGGAATTCATGCTTAGACACAATACAAAGTTTAGAATGGCCATCCCAGTCCCCAGACTTGAATATCATGTAAAATCTATGGATTGATTTGAAAAGGGCCATTCACACTTGGCAACCATCAAACCTGACTGAACTGGAGAAATTTTGCTAGGAAGAATGGTCCAACATGCTTTCAGCAAGAGTTCAAAGACTTATCCTTGACAATAAAAATTGCATTTATATCAATATAAATATTGATTTAAATTGCATTGCATCTGTTGATTAAATAAGTGTTATGTCAGAACTGAAATGTTGCTTTGTTTATAGAGCATAAAATGTATTCAAATAATTTTGCCGCTTTGAAAGGCCAGCAAACTAGGCCTTGCAATTTTGAAAATTATGAGGGTGCCCAAACTGTATATTTCTATCTCTTAAATGATCAAACAATGTGAGGTAAATATGAGGTCAGTATATTAGTGCATCTTGATTTGTATTTTTTTGACCATACAACAAAAATCTGTGTTTTTGACCCTGATGAATTTCACTGCAAACAAAACCAATTGTAACTATCTTCAAAACATGTGTTCTTTCGAAGAAATAAGGTCGTACTTGTTTTAAGGACATGCAGAAAAGTAAAAGATGACCAAATTTTTACTTGTGGATTAATTAGCACACAGCTATACTTCACCATATTTTTGTCACAGCAGCTTCTAGCGATGTGTCTCTTCATTCTTCAAGTGTTAGGACATTACAGTCGCATAACAGCCACATTTAGAATATCACAGCAACAAATCGTTGTTGCTTGCAGGCCAATTAGTCTGCATCAGCCCAGGCAACATAATCCCCAGCAATCCACTGAAGTGTGCTGGATTTAAATCATTTATTCGTCAAGGATGTACAAGCCAACATCCACATCATTAGCTCCAGTTTCAAGCCTACAGGGTTTCATTATGTAAAATTGCTACATGAGAGAGTGGCTTCAAGTTATTGTGGCACTGGTCTCATCATCACTGCACTTGATGGCTGTTATTTTTCACCATTTTATATCTTGAGTCATTAGTGGCTTTAGCACCGGAGAAACATTTTCACATTTCTTACAACTGTTGGTGGACAAAAACACACTCACTGACATGTTTGCAAAGCGGCTTTTGCGGGAACTATATTAGATTAGGGTCTAAACTAACATTATCAGGCATGACCTGAAACTATCACTCACATAAATATACAATGATTGGGCAAATGCATACCATACAAAACACACAAGCATAGTATTTTAAAGTGTAACAGATCATAAATGATTAAAGTTGGGTTGTTTTATATATATATATATATATATATATATATATATATATATATGATGTGTAGTTTTTTGATGTTGTAGATTTTTAGTCTGGCTCATGTCCCATTTATTGAGCAGGGTATGTCTGCGAACAGCAAAACAGAGGCATAACATGAAGGGGCATAACTTATAGTATGTTAGAGGCATAACTTGATGTTATGGAGACCCACGTGTCAAAGCTATGTTGTTGGCAGATGGTGCTATACATCAGTTATTAATGTCTACACCGACTCCACATCTAAACCGAACCATCACATTTACTAACATCTATACCTACAATACCCCTAAACCCAACCATCACAGTTATTAAAGTCTACAATAGCACCTATCCAGCACACTCTTCACAAAGAACAGCTCAGTGGAAGGTGATGCAGAAAAAGCCTTTTCTGTGTTTTGCCAACAAGCAGAGTCATTTGATGTATGCAAAGGCTTATCTGGACAATTCTGAATCATTTTGGAAAATTATACAATTTGGTCACTATAATAGGCAGAAAAACAACACAGCATTCCAGAAGAAAAACAAGCTCCCTACTGTAAAATATGGTGGAAGGTCCATCATGCTGTGGGGATGTTTGGCACCTTTTCAGAGTTAAAGGTTGCATGGATTCCAGCCAGAAACAGCAGGTTCTTTAGAGAGGTGCTATACATCAGTTATTAATGTCTGATGTGCTATACATCAGTTATTAATGTCTACACCGACTCCACATCTAAACCGAACCATCACATTTACTAACATCTATACCTACAATACCCCTAAACCCAACCATCACAGTTATTAAAGTCTACACCTTCCCCAATCCTAAATCCAACCATCATTATTATCGTTAACACCTTCCCCAACCCTAAGCCCAACCATCACAGTTATTAATGTCTACATCTTGCCAAACCAAAACCCAACCATCATCATTATAATCGTCTACACCTTCCCCAACTATCAAAGCTATTAACATCTACACTTTCCCTAACCCTAAACCCAACCATCACAATTATTAACGTCCACACCTACCCCAAACCTAACACTCTCGCCATTGTATTGTTATTTGCAACCACAGGGGGTGACTGAGTAGGCTGTCGTTACAAAAAGGATGAAGAAGTCAGCGAGTGAAGTTGCATGGTGGAGTTGCTAAATAAATGAATATTATAATAAAATATCAAATGAATTGATTGTGGATAAATTTGTAGAAAATAATGAAAACATTTGGTGAAAATGTTCTCTGTTAATATTTCCATCATCTTGCCGACAACATCTCGTTGTGACATCTTGCATTGTTCAATGGGATCTTGACAACTGCAAGTTATGCCTCTCTAACTTAAAGTTACATCCTTTCATGTTACGCCCCTCTCTTGCAGTTTGCAGACAGATACATGGACATTTACATGGAAAGAATGGAGTTTATGACAAATACTGCAGCCTGCCACCAGGGAGCGATTGAAATGTTTTGACATTTTGACATATATGACAATGCCTTTTAATTGTCCATTTTTTGTTTTTCTCTTAGCAAATCATTGATGCTGCAATGCTCAGCTCCACACTGACTAGGATGGGTAGTGGAGGTGAGAATGGTCGTGTGATGGCCCATGACTTCCCCAAAGGGGCACAGACTCTGCCATGTATGGGCCAGGCGGCCGCCATGGGCCTCAGCACCACTGGGATGTAAACAGCCATCATCCTCCCCGAAATGACGGGACATCAGGAGACTAGTGGAAAGAGTGGAAGATGATGTGAGAGACACTGCAGTGTACATCTCACCTGCCACTGAAGTACTGCCAAATGGATTCATGGACACATTCTGGGCTCCAAATGAAATTAGATAAAGATGGAGGAAAATTACTTTTTTAATATCAGGATGTGGCTGTTTCTTTCTTTTTTTTCTTTTTTTTTTTTTTTGAATATCTTTTGCAATAAGGAGACCATGTGTGAGGTGTTTTTGTATGAAGTTTCACTTTTGACAAAACTGGGTTTTCCTTCAATTCTACACAAAAATTACTGACAATGTTTTTTGTCATTTCATTGTCCACAAATCCCTCCGAATTTCCTGATTATGATCATTTTATTCTCTTCATCTGCCTTCTGATATATCCAACAAACATCTGAAGGACATTTTATTTGACATATTTTTCCATAGTTTCAAATCATTTTTACACTATCAGATAGTGAAGGTGAAGTATGTAATTTCTGTGTTACTGGCATACCCATGGCGAATTGCAAAAGTGTGTTCATCATTGATTGGAAAAACCAATATTCCTCTCCTTAAATCACAAGTTGGCTGGGTTAGGAAGTACATCATCTAATACTTACTACAGTATATAATGTGAAAAAGGGGACAGTTGAAAATCAAATGATTGAAATGCAGAGCACTTTCAAAAGATTTATGCTCACCAGGCACAGCTATACAATCCGAATAAATGTCAACTAACAGAGCATCAGCAAATATGAATAATAGGTGAAGATATCAGATTTCCAAGGCTAGACACCGCCATTTTTGGCCACTACTACAGTTGCATATTGATTTGGAAATGGACATATTTTGGGTATTGCGCCCTCAAAAATTATGCCTGTTTTAGATCTTATATGAATTCATATTTCTTTTGTGGAACACCAAAGGACATAGTCAGGTCAGGTCTGGATCAACACAAAGGTGAGTAAATGAATAATTAGGGCCCAAGTATTTAAATTACATTAGTCTACTTATACTTAGGGATTTTACATTTACGGTTGCTCTAGTTCTACCTGAGCAGGATTTGAATTAGTGAATTGTCACGTGGCCACATTATCATCAAGTCACTAGCGTTCCTCTTTGGTCTGGTTTTACTCACCCCATTCTGAGATTCAAATCAGCATGGGCATACTAACAATGAAATATAAAGTCTATAAACTGATTTTTTTTTTATGTGGTCACCATTTTAAAAGTGAAATCGAAGCTGCGGTGGGAAGAAACCCAGAAGTATTGCCTGGAGTCACACAGGAATGTTGTGTACCTAGCTGTATATCTTATCAGCGAAGAGAAAGTGACACAAATTTATAATTTCACCGCCTTCCGAGTGACCCGAAGGTTCATTCTAAATGGATAGTGAAAATAAAAAGGGATATCAGACCTCTTTTTGAGCTAAGGTAAGTGAAATGGCACAAGTTAGCTAACCCTTTCTTTCCCAAACACACGTTTTAGATGCCATTTATCAAACTCAAGTTAATACACTTTATTAGACGTCACAATACTGAAATAAAAAAATAAAAAACACGTCAATTTTCGGCTAACATTTATTCACTGTTGAGCGTGTTCTTAAACACCTCAGATTTGCCAAAGTATTCAACAATGCTCAAAAGAAATGACTGTGATTGGCCGTGAAGATCATCAGTTCACTACACCCCACTGATGTTTACCGAGTGCAAACACAGACGAACAATCCATTTGTGGCTTTAAAATGCTCCAATGTCTGTGTATCTGTGTTTGCACTCAGTGAAGAGCTGTGAACAGATGACCTTTGCAGCCAATCACAGTCATTTCTGTTGAGCATTGGTGAATACTATGGCAAATCAGCACTGTTTAAGAACTCCCTCATCGGCGCTTAAATGTTAGCGGGAAATAGACGTTTTTAAAATCTTAGGACTAGGACAACACTATTACAGACAACACAAGGTTGTGCTACAGAGGACAGCATTGTTTTAAAACTTACTTTAACTTTTTTTTAACTTAACTGAATGATATTAAAGTGATGTTAATACCATATCTACAAATCGTGACAACAGCTAATCCACAGCATGTTGTTACAATGTTTACAGTGCTGATCCTATACTTCTGTGTATCTTCCCACCTCAGCCTCGCTGTCAAATTTTAAAATTGCGGCCTCGTGAAATAAGCATATTTTCATAGTGTCTCTGAAAGCCAGGGGACTATGGTTTTCAGGTCCTACCAGCTGTTTTTTTTTTAAATCATACACAAAAAGTTGCACAATAGTTATGTACTTGACCTTTTAAGACACAATTCTGAATGAAACAAATGTTTGCCCTCTGAAAAACTATAGGAAGTGTGCTACATCTGTGTGTCAGCTTCAGTGCAGAGTCTCTAAATGTCTTCCTTTCCGTCCACTTAGATTGACAAGCCTCTCTAGGGAAGGTGACTTCTTCCATAGGTTCGGAGAGGCTGATTACCAGTCCTGTCGTTGTTACTGCTGTAGCTCGCAGTCTCACCCTTCACTTATGAACACTTTGGATCAATCACTGCTTCCCCGTTCATGCTGCTCGATAGAGTCTGAGAGTTAAAGACATCAGATTGAGAGAGCGAGAGAAACTGAGGGGTGTAGGCTATGCTTGCAGATCCACTTTTGCCTATTGCTTTGCCACTTTCACATTCCGTCTTCCTTTCCAGCTTAACATGACATTTTTCTGTTGAAGTGATATGTATACACATCATTCCCACTGTCAAGCGCTAATGAGGTTGGCGTAAACAGATGTGACAATAACAACAGATTCAAGGGCAGAATGAGCACCCAGGAGGCCGACTACTTAGAAACCCTAAAACGTCTGTTTGTGATATTGTCGTTGTAATAACAGCTGAAATATTGTCGTGTAAACACCAATTCCATGAAAAAGCATCATATGGAAATCTACCTAATAGCTGACACAGACAACAATAGAAATTGTTCACGCTGTGAGATTAATAAGGTGATTTAATAGCTTGACTATTAACAGTTCATTTAAGATGAGCAAAGCACGATGGCTATGGCTTGTTTTGTACAGTCATTGCTTTGTGCGCCAATAAAACGAACACACTTTTGAATACATTGGCAAGAAATGATGTCATTAACAAACAATGATAGTCTGACTTTTTTAGTTTCGAGGTGCCACGTCAGGCCTTGTGTTTTTCTATCAGACGGGACTCACCGATTGAAGCACAGGAGAGGATGATGAACTCTTAATGGACCTGATCATCAGATACTGTGAACGAACACAGAGGTAAAACTGAATGTCAATACTTTAAGCACAAGATCTTCATTCAAACGTTCAGGAGAGTTTCGCTCAGCAGTGAGGCCCTGTGGTCGGCCTTTATCCTCCCTCAATCCTTTGCCAGTGAACCTTCATCGGTCTGTACATCATCTGTCCTCTTTACTGCCGATTCTATTTGTATAAAATACAGAAAATCCAACATAACCTGACATGGAACATTTGTGCTGACGAAACGGTGCTTTGTGGCCTTTGTTTTCCATTTGATGGGTTATTTGTTTTGTTTGTTATTTTTTCCAGTCTCGTATTTAAAGTGGAATTCTGTATTTAAGATGTTTTTTAGTTGGTGTTGTTGTTGGTTTCGCACTTTTTAAACAGGGCTGTCAATCGATTTAATCGAATGAATCACGACATGCTGATTAATCAGATTAATCACACACTGCGTATCTATGTTTGCTGAGAAAAATCGAAATAGAACAATTTAATGTATTTTTAATTTATAAATTCATTGTTTACAAATACAACATTATTGTGGCATGGCGGCATTAAATAGAATTTTAAAAGTAAGTGATTTATATATTGTCAGTTAGTCCGAATATTGTTTTGTTTTTAAACACTGAACTTAAGCACTTGCTGACAGGTCAGAATTCATTTTACATTCAATTTGTCAATCTGTCTGAGGCAGACACTGTTTTTATTTGTATTATTGCTTATTTGATTTAATTAAATGCATTAAATTAGCTCATTAAATTGACAGCCCTACTTATAATAACACCTCTTTTTAACATTCTCCCCACAAAATACATTTTAAAGCAGCAGCAAGATGTAACATTAACAAACCAACGTATTGACAAGGAGTATTCCGAAATAAACTTTTCTTACTGAATGCCTTTAGCTTTCATCTTTTGTCTCTCTCTTCTTAAAGGTGTGGTCTCCTACGATATCATATTTTAAACTTTAGTTAAGGTGTAATGTAGCTGTGTAAACAAACAACATCTCTGAATGTTGAACTTAATTTGCTCAAAGTTCAACGCAAAGGGAGACATTGGCTTTTACAGATTGTCACCTTGGCCTTATAAAGTTCTATCTGCGTTCTGAATGATTTAGAGATATTGAGCTTTAAAGTTTTTGCATTCCATAGCAAACAGTATGTGTGTAACATTTGTTTTTAACAAAATGTCTTAAAATGTAAACAACTTATAAAAAAATCCCAAAATGTAAATAAGTTATCAATTATTCAGAATTTGTCAATTTCACAAAAATGTCAGATAACACCTTACAATTCCAAGGTGACGAGATTTAACTTAGCAAAGCTTACAGCGAACAAAGTTTGAGGACTACAAAAAAATACATCCGGGTTAATGATGTCATAAACCCTTCAGGTTACGAGCATACACACAGTGAAGGGGCGTAGCCAGAAGTGCTGCAATATTATAGCAGAGATGCTTCCTGGTGACATGGAGCCGATCCGCGAATCACAGCACATTATGTTAGCTGACCAATCAGAGCTTCTTGAGGGCGGGCTTTTGGAGGAACTAGGAAATTTGACAGTCATTTTCATGTTAGCTGAGTAGCAGTATATAATTAAAGTAAGATAGATTTAAAAAATAATGTGATTTTTTTTTTTTTACAAATGAAGCATGAGCACAAGTTGCTTTACACCCCATAAACACAACCATGTCTTAAAAATACACTCTCGACCACCCCTTTAACATTGTTTTTCGAATTAATGATGCCAGAGTCTACAGCTACAGCTTCTGTGTTTCTGCTCAACGTCATCGGATTCTTGTCCATGACTTGCACTGATATAGAACATCTTGTTTAAGCTCTGCTGGCTCTCTGAGTGTTGTATTGATCTCGATAAATGCCACATTTGTTCTCTTCCTTCTGTTTCCCCCATAGGCCTGGCCTTTCACTCAGTCACTCACTCACTTCCAGCGGAGCTCATATGCTCAAGACATAGAAAGTGCCAGAGGCTTTTGTGCACTTGGAAAGAGTTCGGAGATTCAGCACTATCTGTGCTCGGCTAATTGTGAGCCTACAGGTATGCAATCATCTCTGAGAGTGGAGATGGTGAAGTTTTGTATTGAGGGTTACTGAGGTGCCTAAATTGAAGATCCAGGGAGTTAGCGCTCTGTTTGGTGACATTAAAGAAACACTCTCACTCACTTTTTTTTGCAAATATTCTCACCTAGAGTTAAATAGCTGAGTTTTACCATTTTTTTATCTATTCAGCTAATATCTGGATCTGGCAAGGGCATATTTTAGCCTAGCTTAGCATAAATCATTGAATCAGATTAGACTATTAGCTTCTTGCTGAAAAAGGCTAATGTTACGACTCAACTAGAGTTAAGCAGTTGAGTTTTACCATTTTTTAATCCATTCAGCTGATCTCTGGATCAGTCGAGGGCATGTTTTAGCTTAGCATAGCATAAATTATTGAATCAAATTATCAATAGCATCTTGCTGAAAAAGGC